AGCAGCCCGTGCGTTGGCCATTTATCTGTCTTTGTGGTGCTGTGTTGTTCCTTTCTCTTCAGTGTTGTGCTCGGTTCCTGCCTCCAAGCTCCTGACTGTCCCTTCCCTACCCTTTCTTCAATAACTGCACCCTCTAACCAACTACACGCCTGCCCCCTTCCCCCTCTCCCTCCTGTCGGAAGTCCCCACGGCTCAGACAAGCACCACACACCTCCTCTCCTCCATCCACCACCCCGAAGATGTACGTCACTCAGCCAACAAACTCCCATGCGAGTGCATATTGCGTGGCCAAGTCGAGTTTTAGTAGTTGCCTGTCCCAACCTTCCCCTACCCCAAAATCTCGCAGCCGCAACCCTCCACCATCTTCGTTCCTTCCCACGTAACACCAGCAAATCCACGCGCTACCCAGTACCCAGGGTAGCGTTACCCATCACCAAGAGCAGTTCTCGCAAATCGTACACCAACCGATGCTACCCATCCGATTTGTAGTAAGTGTTGTATGTGTGCGGAAATGCATTGGCCGATGAGACTGTTGTATGAGTTCAGCAACGTGTTTTTGGGGATGGGTGATGGATGTTTTCCGCACACGAGGCGGGGTTCCCCTTTCCGCCTGTCTCCTCGTCCTCCCCTGTCCTCTTCCCTCCTCCTCTTCCCCTCTGCGGTCCCCACTCAGACATTTTGGAGGGCAGCACGTCACTCATTGGGCTGTGCTCGGGTACCCCTAGGCTGTTATATGGCAAACGAACAAAGGCAGGTAACGGTAAGAAATGGACCGAAACATTTCTTAGAAATTTGTTAGAAAAATTTAAAACCTGTTTTTAAATTTTTTTTTTTCTGTTCTATTTTTTTCTATTTTCCTATTTTTTTTTTTTTTCTATTTTTCTTCTTGTTCTACTTTTTTTCCTATTTTTCTTTTCTATTTTTTCTTTTTCTTTCTCCTTTTTACTTTTCCCCTTTCTTCTTTTGTCTTTCTTTTACATTACTTTCTCTTTTAAATACTACGGTTTGAGACGATAGGACCCAGCGAAAAAGGGAGTCTGTTGGCTTTCTGAGTTTCCCCCCTGCCCCCTTCCCGATGTGCCCTTCCCCTCCTCCTCACTCTCCCCTTCTCCCGTCCTACCAAAGAGTTTTTTTTTTTATTGATGTTTTTAGCACTCCTCGCAAGCTTTGAAAGCTGTTCGTTTTTTTGCGAGTTGAACACAGCATTTCTGGCATTATTCAGTTTTCGGGCGTTGTATCATCATATTTTGTTGCGTCGCTGTAGCGCCACAAATCCGTGCGGGATTTCTTCATATTCCTGCACACTGTATGCGTTATGGCACCGACAGCAAGCAGCAAACGCTCAAGTGCTGAGAGTAAAACAACGAAGGAAGCCGGACAAATAGCGGTAACTTTTCAAATCGCATTTTTTTTTTCTCGACTTTCCCCATAAAAATTATAATTTGGGGACAGTTTGGGATCGTAAAATAATTTAAGTGCAATGTGCTAATACATTGATAGTGCATGTATATATCAATATAAATATGTGCCATTGTTGCACAAAGCAGTATTAGCTTCTTTTTCACATGTATTGTTTTTGATAGTTTTTATGCATTCACTTTAACACACATATCATGTTGAGCGGAGCCCACTGTCAAAAATCTTCATGGACCGGGAAGGAATCGAACCATCCCTCTTCACATTCAGACGCAACGTGTTACCCGCTACACTAGCCCTTTGCTCCAGGATCAGCTTGGTAGCACATCTACTGTGTATCTGCTTTTCAAGACAGAATATAGTTTCTCTCACAGACAGCATACACCTTTTTCTTTGTGGCTGCTTCTTGTCAGCTTCTCGCGGGTTTTCCGCTACAACGCATACGCTGTTGGTACTTGCCAAATTCTCCTCACATGTATTCATAATTTTTCTGACTCGTTTCCTTTTCGTCCTTTTTGCATATTTTTATGAACTACTATGTGACTTAATCTTTTCTTATTCATTGAAACAGATTTTAAAAATATGTAATTCCAGGTGGTGTCATTTTTGTGGCTCAAGGGAAGTGTTATTTTAGCTAATGTGGTACTGATGATTTCAGGTGTACAGTGAGATAGCAATACGACACAACATAGGTGTGCTGGAATATTCAAGAACTTGTCAGGCAGCGGCAGCTGGTATGGCAAGTGGCATTCTTGGATTAACCGGTATCTCCGGCTTTGTCTTCTATTTCGTCTTGGTCATCTTACAGGTAATTTGTTAAATTCCTACCACCCGTCTCTTCGCATTCTTTTATTCGCTGCGAATTCCAGCCAAGGAAAAATAGACAAAAAATCGCCCCGTATCATTGTGACTGCATTTTGTACGTTTTAGAACTAAATTGTACCAATATTTGCATATTATTGGATGCTTTTTGGGGAAGGGAAATGTGACTGTGGTTGATAGAGAAATCTGGGGACAACTCCCTGTAAACGGTAGCTGAAAAAAACTAACCTCGGACCGTAATCTCGCTTTCACGTTTTTCATATAAACTGAATTTCACTGAGCTAAAGTCTTTCCTTACAGCCGCTTCTGAGATAATCCATGCCTTATTTTTCAGGCTATATTTTGGGAAATGAAAGCGAATTTTGAGTGGCACAATTACTTCATCAGTCGGAGTTTATCACTTACACATTCGTTGATATCTGGCCTCTTCACTTATATTTTATTTTGGGTATTCCTCTATGGAATGGTCCATGTTTATTGAATTTTGTGTAGTGTCCCTTCACCTGTTCTCTGGTTTCATATTGTTTATTGCTTGCACATTTTGTGATGTTGAAATTGTAGTAGCATTCTCCCTCTCGGCAACTTTTCCTTTGATCCGAACTGGGTTTTTGTGAGGCATAGTTGAGAAGAACTTTTCCGTTCAACTTATTTTACACGCTGTAATAATGTAAAACTGGCAAGCGTTTTGTGTAAAATTAAAAGAAAGACAAAAAAAAACTTAGAACCAATAGGCCTGTTCTAATAAGGTTGGATCCTTGCAAAATTCATTAATATTTTAGTAATTTTGGTAATTTCTCAGTAGTTTTGTTAAATCGACGGTGATTTTTGGTTCTATGTTTTCGCATCGAAAAAATTTAGGCGCCTATTGTGCTTCTGATACTGCCTTTATGAAATCGCCCTTGATTACTTTTTCCCCATTCTTATTATGCTTCTTTTTTCTTAACGAGCTGCTGATGACTTTACCAAACATTCTGGGAGCAGTTAAACTACCACCGGTTCGTTTCACTGACATTCCACTGAAGCAGTAGAGTCTTGGATGTAGTAGTATCGTTATTCGTTTTGCAGGTAAATGCCCTCGTGGAAAGTGAGTGAAATACAAAAGGGTCCGGAATAATGAGTCTATTTCACGGAATTTTTCGAATTGTGATATAGAGTGGCTAAAAGTTAAAAGTGTTTTCGAGTTTTATCGCGACCCTAAAAGTTAACATTTTAGACTAGTGGCGTACCCTGTGTGTAAGTTTTTGAAGATACCTAGTCATATATGCATATTTATAAGTACGAAAAATAATAAAAGGGCAATACAAAAAAATGTGGTAAAATTTTGGGGAGCCAAAGCCCCCCGGAACAGGAATAAGAAGAAAGTAGCTCCTCATGTGAATTGATCTAACTGTGGTATCCCGGGGATGGGGAAGAGTGCTTTTATACCCAAGGGGTCAGAGATTACTAAGATAGCGAAACTCTAAGGAGGATAGGGTGTCCAAAGTTTGAACCAGGGACCGGGGTATTGCATCATAATGACGCAATTGTTCTTTAAGCCATTTCTAACAAAAAACCATAAGTCATTATTTGATATATTATGTAACAGTTTGAATATGGTTTAAATGGCTCACTTCTTTAAAGTGTAAGAAGTAGAGGCGCTAAGCTTTTATGATTTTTGCTTGATTATTGTAGCCTCTCTCGTTCGTGATGGTAAATTTCTGAACTTTGATGGCAATAAGTCAAAATTTTAAAACACGATTGTGTGTTTTTTCTGAAATATTTGTTTGAAGTTTCTGCTGTAAATATAACGAAACAGTTGAGCTTTGTGTGTACAAAATTCTGTTACTGTGCCGACAGTAAACGATGCAGATAAAACTATGTCATGCATTTAGTGCTATTGCCGATACCTTCCTGTTTTGCAGGGCTTTAACGGCCTACAGCTTTTCCGAGGATCAAAAACTTCATTAAAAGGGGCTGAGGTGATAAATTATGTAAATTAGTATTTGGGCAAAGGAATGATTTGGTCCCTTGTTTTTTGGATATTCAACAAAAAATTGGTTTGACTTCATTTTTTTTTTTTTTAAATATTCGTGCAGTGGCTGAAAACGCGATTTTTGATAGGTAACATGAAAAGTGGCCAGGGATATTCCTTCATAAGTTTTAGTGTTTGATGTATTCGAAATGCAATGTCTTCCTCTTTTAGATTGCCCAGATCTCAAATGTTCAAAAGCAATGAGAAAGTAAAGCCAAGTCGTGCGGATCTTACCAAGAAAATCGAGGAGCAGCAGCGCCAGATTACGGAATATGAGAAGAAATTGAAAGGTTTGTGGCAAAAGTAAATTCTGAGACACTGCTTGCTTTTGCGGGGCAAAAATCCGTTGTGATGATCGCTTCGACCATCTCCTCTTTGTGCGGTCTGTTCTGTGGGAATCCTTAGCGCAGCACATTCAAAATGGTGGAACCTTTAAAACGTGAGGGTGATACATTGGATGGAAATATGACTTCAAAATTTCAGCCTCCCAGCTTTCCTGATTGCTGAGTTGAAAGTGGTTGACAAAGTTCACTCGCTTCCGAACACACACACACACACACACGCACAAGCACGCATACACGCAGACGACCTCTCGACAATATGCATTTTTTCTCGCTGTAGCAACACTGTAGCACTGCACAGTAAAAACGCATTAAAAAAACGGCGATAAAGCAACAGATAATCAGCAAAACAACATGTAATCTCATACTGAGCGTTACACAAGGGTGAAACAAACTTTACTACGAGTTCTCATAGACTCATTCTAAATTTGAAAACAAAGGGGTTTTTTCTTGAAGGAGTATATTTATGTTCCATTTTATCAGTCAGCCATTTCAGATGTTGTTCGAGCCTACAAAGGACTCAACGCTGAGAAGAACGCTTTACAGGCAACTGTGGAAGCACTGGGTCTTCAGAGTGGTTAGTTTTAATAAATGGCAACGCGCACCAGACTAGCCGGTGCGATCATGCGTTTTGTGCAGTTCAGCCGATCGAACGACTGCCTGTTAATGACTTTCACTGCTTTGCACTTTAGTCTTTCAAAAATTGGGAAACAATTAAAAATTTCACGCACCAGTATGTGAAAGCTGAATTCGAAACCTTGAAGGATGAATATCTTTCCATGATTCCCGAGTTAATAGTTCATC